CACGCCCTCTAAGTTCGGTAACAAAAACCATCGGGTTCACATCTTGGGCATTCTAACACAAGCCTAATGTTTCAAGGTATCTTAATCATCATAGTTTTATAAGGTATTTATTTATAATATTAAGTACTTCTAATCAGGGTTGGCTTCATTACTTTATAAGCCTTGTTTTTTTAAATTATAATCTATATAGCGAAATTACTATGCTGATCATCAGTATTTTTAATAAGAGGATTGATGTGATATGGATATCAATTGCTTTCAGAGGTTCATATATCATATATTAGAGGTTCATATTAGCATTAGCTTTTTTATTAACATAAGTATATAAAAATACAAATAAGCAATGATTATACACAGTTTTTTTTTAAAATAGATGGTTTTAAATACCTACTCCTGCTGAAAATATTTATCCAAAACTGAAAGGTAGAACCAATCTGAACGTCGTTTCAAAAGGCCGGTCGTGGTCCAGTAATTAGAGTGCTCGATTGTAAGTTAGAAGTACACGGTATGAATCTCGTTGCAGCAAAAGCGCATTCGGTGTTTTGGAGTCGTAGAGGCGTTATAAGAGTAATGAACAAATTCCACTATTCGATTAGACTAATCAAAAGTTAGTGGTGAGAAAGCTAGGGTAGATAGCCTTTGTGAACTTCTTAAACAAACAAATAAATATTCTTTTATGATATGCCTTGTTTACTCATATTTAAGTGCAAGCAACTCGTCCCCCAGTGCCAGAGTGGTATTTCTGCGGACTTATAGTGTTAAAAACCGGGTTACGATACCCGCGGTGGGCAGAATACAAATAGCCCTTTGTGTAGCATTGTGCTTAATAACAAACAACAATAACAGCAAGAAACATCCAATTTTAGCAAAAATTCCAATTTTCCGTCTATAGATTTTCATTACTGCAAAATCAAAAGAGAAAATAAGTCTCATAAATATAATTTTTTAAATATTCTTTTTTTTACATATAGCACATTTCAAATAAAGTTAAAACTAATATATGCATTAAATTTTAGATAAAATTAAAACCTGATACATAAATTAAGTTTTTTTGGATATAGTTAAAACCTAGCCCGTGCACTTAATTTTGCAAAAATAAAATCTTTCACGTGTATTATATTCCTGGCTAAAGTTAAAACCTAGTATGTTCATTACCTCTTAGGTAAAGTTTTATAAAATATATTAGACGTATTACTTTTTGTATGAAGGTGAGATGTAGTGATATTTACGTTTTGTTATCTCTCACAACATTGAAACCTAGTAAATGCACAACTTATTAAATAGAGTTTTACATTGCATAATTTAACAAAATAAAGCACTAATTTAACCATTCATTGTTTGTTTTTAACCTACTTTACTATTTCTTCAATTATGTATGTTCCCACGTGATTTCTAAGTGATTAAAATGTAATTAAGAACTAACACACGAATGAACTGGAAGATAGAGTTATTGCCCTGTCTGACATATTCGTAACTAAATACAGTAGCATCGTATGTATATCTTCACTGTCACTTTTTGCGTAGTTATTTAATTAAGCAAGTAATATTAAAGTGGATGAATGCACAACTTAAGAAGACGTAAAATCAGACGGTTTTATTTATTTACTATAGAAGTAATGATATATACTACTACATCCCCCACTTTGTAGCCTTTCTGTTTATTTAGGAATAAAATTGCCTTTCAGCATTATCACTACTTGATCAGTATATACCATTATATCACAGAGTTCTGAAATACCAAAACACATATCTCTTTAGCGAAATATTTATATGTGAAGTAAGCCTATTACTTTAGGTATCTATATAAATATAATAGTACTGTCTGTTGTATGTCCGTGTAATTACTTCGCACGGTGTGGATGTACCTTCACTAAAATTGGTATGGTTTTTTGCCACTACCTCACCTCCTGTGGATGGATCTTTACTAAATTTGGTATGGAGGCTCATGGGTCCATGGGGAGATACATACAAATTTTTAGTTTGCATTTTGCGATTTGTGGTTTTTATGGGCGTTTTTGCGTTTTTACCACCAATTCTTCCCCCTTTTGATGGATCTTCACCAAATTTAACATGTAGGTTTGTTTAGTCCATGCAAAGATACATGCAAACCTACAGTTTCACATTTTGTGTTTTGCAGTTTTTATGGGCGTTTTTGACAATTATATATAAGGGAAGTAACTAAGATAATCTGTCATTAATCATGAATTTACATAGCTTCCGTCCAGGGGACGGGTACTCCAGCTAGTTAATATATATATATATATATAGGTAAAAACTTAGAATTGAGTTTACGGAGACTCAATAGTGATTGCTACAAGTTCTGGGTCTCCAGCCATTATTAGTCTCAAAGTGGGTTCCTCGTCATCGAGTTTAAACACATTGTTAATCCTACAGATTTTAAACACGATAATAAGTAGTCATACCTTGAGATAAAGTCTCTCTAAACAGATGACTAATTCATGAAAAAGACGGATGATACATTTGTCAATATAACATGTTTAATTTTAGATGAACAAAAATGCCCCGCATAATTCCGCGCATTACTAGTTTATTAGTGTACAGTGTTCAGGATGAAGAAGTAAAAAACAAAGTTTATTATGAACAACATAACACAAATAACGACAAATTTTCGGTTCACCGAACTCTTTTCATCTAGGATTCTTGCAGTTGTTGCAACTTATCTTTTTGGCTGACTTCCTTTGATCTAGTCCCCCGGTGGGAAAAAGGTAAGTTTAAGGGCTTACAATGCTGAAATCCGGGGTTAGGTTCTCCGCGGTAGACACAGCCGATAGCCCAATGTGTTTTTGCTATAAAACAAACAAACAAACCTCTGATTTAATATCCACCGTGAAATGCAACAAGTCATTACTTATTTTACTTTGAAGATCATTTTATTTCAATTTTTAATCGGTTAAATATATATGTCCAAGATCTAGTTGGTAAGAACATAGTCACTATCCTGCACCAGCTTCTAAATGTTTCATTTCCTTCCTTTCAATAGATACTTCAGAAGTCCTCTGGTTTTGGCTGAGTTCACTCTGGGACCTTTAGCATCCATTCTGTTTTCACTACATAAACTTATTCAATGATGCAAGAACTTACTAGAAAAGGTATCTGTGAGCATCAGGTTCCTACTCCTCATCAATAAAACTTCACTGAAACTTGATTTTCACCGTTTCTGGGGATATCACTCAGATAACGTACTACCCTGTCAAAGATTTTTTATTCTGTTTATAGGGATATTAAAGATAGATACTAAGACCTTAAACTTCATTCAGCTATATACAATTAACATATTCCTGATCACTTATCCATTCTAAAAGGATCATTTACGAATAAACTTCCTTCAAACACCTTCTCAGTCCTCGTCCTCCCATATTTGTTAAATGTTTCACATGCGAGATGGCTATAAAGTCAGTATTTATATTTGGAATGGTCTGGACAAACATACGGGAGGGGCTTTATTGCAGGATCAATAATGAGGCAGCATTCGTGGCATACCTCTGCAGCACTTACACAAGGTGTGGGCTATAATCAGCTCTTACTGTCAGCATATGGGCTAGAAAGTTACCTACATCCATTATTCGAGGCCACAGCACTCCCTGATGTCAACTCTCTTATGTAGGAAGAAAACTGACCTTTTTACTTATTGTTTTATAACATTACTTAGTTTCTCTTTGTCACAAGTATCACTATAATATGTGATGACCTGACTGACAGCTGTAGAATAGTTTGCAAGACCACCACGTAAGTAAACACACAAGAAACTCACCAGTCGAACATATGACCGGCTATGTTAGTTTATTCAACAAATAATTCACCTGTGGGTTATTTTACACAGCAACCATATGATAGGTTATGTTAGTTTACTCAACAAATAATTTACTAGTTGGGTTATCTTACACAGCAAACATATAGCTAGTAATGTTAACTTACTCAGCAAATAAATTACTAGTTGGGTTACCTTATACAGCAACCATATGATAGGTTATGTTAGTTTACTCAACAAATGATTTACTAGGTGGGTTATTTTACACAGGAACCATATGATAGGTTATGTTAGTTTACTCAACAAATAATTTATTAGTTGGGTTATTTTACACAGCAAACATATAGTCAAATTCGATGACGAAGAACCCACTTTGAGACTAATAATGCTTGGAGACGGCTTGAATGGGTAAAATGTACATATATATATATATATATATCTGTGTCAGTGTAAACTCCATGTACCTGATGAAGATAAAACCTTGTCGAAACATTGTACATTTGCTGTTATGTTAAACTTATATTAAAGTTTTCTTCATTACCCATCTAAACCATCTCCAAGCGTTATTAAACATACAGTCAGTCACGTTAACTTACTCAGTAAACGCTTTGCTAATCCTATAAAATCACACACAAAAAATCCGACGTCACTCATGTTGTTTAACAATTTTCAAATCCTGAAGGAATTATTCTTGAGACGCTTGTAAATTAGATAATATTTTTGTAGCTTAATAGTCATTGTTAAATATGTAACTATACTTTATGTTGGCTTCGTTCAAATAGAAACCAATGAAAGCCTTAATAAGAAGTGAAGATGAAGACCTGTTAAAAGAACAATCGTGTTGAAAATCATGCGTTAATGCTATCTTTTCAAATGTCTCTTACACTTTGGAAACATAAGAGATACTAAACTGTGAGCAATCTGTTACTGGTTTATTAAATAACAAGCAGATTATCATTGAAATGTTTAAAGTCATATTTGTTCGAGGTGTATTGAAATAGAAATAAAATATTTACACCAACATGAGATACATTTACCTAATAAATATAATCTGATGTCTGGATATCATTCCGTTGACACTTAGACGCCTACATATTTCTCTAAAATATTTGGTTAAACTTGTATTACTTCTTTCATTGGCTGAAGTGCTCGTGACGTCAGGAAAACTCGCCCACTGACTTTCAGCATAAACTTTAAAAGCTTGCGCAATTGGATTGTCAAACAGTTCTGGAGCACACTAAACCTGTAGACATCGAAGACGTAGAGTCCCAGAAACTGGGCCATATCAAGCTAGCAACAAGTGAAGCTGAGAACAGGTCTGTTGAATGTTCACTTTCAAGATGTTATGAAAATTTCAAAGTACAAAAATTAGAAACAGTAGGCTTAATATTTTTGAAGAACAAGTGCTGGTAAAGGATCTTAAATATAATGTACGATATTGTTTTTTTTTATTTTTGCAAGTTAGATAATCAGCAATGAAAACTTTCGTTTACAGGTCAATCATGTTCATTACAAGTTTGTAAGAATAACGGTCTAATACTACTAAGTTTGTGAGTCAGCTACTCGGTTCGTAGAATTTTTTAACAAATAATTAGCTTGATACCCAAAACTATGCCATTTGTAATTCAGCATCACCAGCCGTCTACACGGCGACTCTTAACTCAGTAATTTTATTTTTCGTCATGATCGTCTTCACATACCAAAGACGATCTCACAAATCTTCTTACTCAGAAATGCCCCTCTGCCGAAGCTAATTTTATGGTATATCAAAGCAGCACTGACATAAATTAGTAGGTAAATGAATGAAAGCTTCAGTTACAAATTATTTCATTGTAATTAGAAATAGTATCGATTTTCAAACTATAATAATATAAACTTGTTCTTCATCATCGCGGAACCCCCTGAAAAGGTCACAGAGCCCCAGAGGTCCCCAAACCACTTTTTTATTTACAGAATTTTGAGATCAACTTTGACTTTTATAATGCACCCATAGCTGAAAGAGCTCGAACCTCAGAACTTCTGATTGAGGGCACGTTACAGTCGGTTTCTCTCAAAATATTGAAAAATCAAATCTCGATCCCTTTGCTACCACTAAAATAATCAGTATGCGTGAAGTCAGAAAGTTTAGAAAGTATTGTACAAATTGTAATCAATTTATTCAAATTCGTATATGCAGATTATTATAGTCAAAGAATATGTATCTTAAAAGTCGAATATTGATGTACCATTTTGAAATCAGTGCTAAAATAATCCATTATGAAGGTCCATTAGGTTACGGAAAAATTATATAGATGTTACAAACAGCTGTTGTGATGGTTTTCGTGGTTAATAGAATATACGATCACCATAGGTTAAACAAACAAGCACTACAGTGTTATAGATGTTACAAAGTACAGTTGCGGTGGTTTTCGTGGTTAATAGCATATTCAATAAGCGAAATTTCATTTGTTTTATTAATTTACTAATTAGTTTTAATTTTATGTTGTAGTTGCTGTTTTGCTGCCATCTATAGGGAAGTCCTTAGTAGGACTGTTTCTAAAATCGATCCAAACCTGGATTTCTTGATAGAAAGGCTGGTGTGTTTTGTATAATCATCTAGGATCTCCCAACTTTAATTTTAATCAGCTAATTTTAACTGAATGTGTCAAGCCAGGTATCCATATATTTTACTTCTATGTTAGATTGGCTGTGTTATTAGTAAGGTGGATGTTAGAAGGCTATTTTTACCTTTCATTTTCTTGTTCAAAGATCAAATAACAATGAAAAGAAGACAATGTAATGAATTGAAATAACACTAATATTATGCTTCTGAGTTCAGACGTGTTTTGGACTTTTTGTTTTTCCATTGTGTTGGAGTTCCCATTCACTAAGGGTGTTGCTCTTTCTCTCTAACGGGTATTTAAGAGGTTTGATGTGTTCTAACTGCGATCCTATAGCAGGTTGGGTGTGTTCTAACTGCGATCCTATAATATAACTCGTATACCACAGGTGTTTACAGAAAACCCACAGATATGGTAAATACCTCAACCCTAAATTAAATTATCTCGACAGTTTAAAGATGAGTGTCATATACTTCCGTATTTCAAGAATGAAAAAGCTTTGTTATACTGAAGATGACAAGAACAAGTAACAAAAACAAATCACTACAGACAATGGACACTGGAAAACGTGATAAGAAAAAAAATAAAGAAATTAAGTACCAAGAATAAGCAGGAAACAAATTAAATATATACAACAACATACTTTATGTCAAAGGTATCTCTGCAACAAAAGAAATATTGTAAACATCTCAAAGATAGAACCACATCTCAATAAGATCACAATTAAACACAGTTAGAAAACACCCAACCTCCAATGGGAGTTTGTTAAAATATTCTATTTCTTTTATGTATTGTTTCACTGAAAGTTTGTTCAAGTGATTCATGAATTCTTCAATATTGTCGTTAGTGTGTGGTCATGTCTAAGCAAAGTTCTGTTTGAGGGTGTTATTTTCAAAATGTTCCATGTAAATGTTACTGAATACTGATGATAGATCTAAACCCGTAGCTAATCCTTGTTGTTGTTTGTAGCATTACCTTCAAGCTGGAACAAGGGTTGCGAGCCCTATTATTATGGAGATTTTTAATTGGGTACATTCCTTAAAAGTTATATATTTAGGTAACTTTCCTAAGAACATGTGTGTTGTTGGTATGAAGTTTGAATAGCTGTGTGTACCTAAATAGAGGTTGTTTTGTTTGTTTGTTTATTTATATGGTGATATTTGGTCCTATCTAGGATCAAGGTATTATTAAGTTTTTGAGTTGGTCTTTGATTTGTTGATACGTAATTTAACTATAGGGCCTTTAGAAATTACGTTACGTTGTTTATGTTTATGAAGGATTTATGGAGGAGACTGAAATGGTTATCTATTTTAGCGAATTTGCATTTACGTTTTTCTAAGTCCATAAGCTGTTTGCCTGAAAACGAAAGCAGATTGATCAGCAACCAAAACGTAGAATGAAAACTAATTAGTAATTACTAATTACTAAAAAATTACTTAATAATTAGTCTTAGGTGATCGTTCATAGTTTACTAATCATGACAACCTTACCTTAAGTAGTTTTTGCAAGTTCTTACTTGCAACAAGAAAAACTATGATATATTCATTACTAAGGTAAGAAACTAATGAAAAAGTGTACACACGATAAGTCTGAATGAAACATTTTATATGAAGCACTTGTGTGTTATATAAGAAAACAGGTTTACTCTGATTTACTCTAGATAAGAAAGCCAGCTGTTGCTTATACGAAACTCTTCAGTCAACTTCCACAATTAATTTTTTATTATCTATAAGCTTTCGTGCACTTTTAAGAGCCCTTGTTTAAATAGATTACCTAACTCCCGTATTGCAGGTGCTACAAAAACCGTATAGTGTGTAAAATACTAATAATATCACATGACCACATTCAGCTACGTTTTTATTGTTTAGGTTTCGTCAAGTCGAGGTTTAATATTTGCTTTTCGAGTCAGGTCAACTATTGAAAGATAGAACATTTTACAACAAAATAGTACTTCGCTCACGTCAATAACAGAATCAAATTACCTCCTCACCTATTTCCACGTATGACAATATATAAACAAAGTTTGTAGGAAAAAGAAAGCATTTTGTATAGGTTTGAGTGAAACAATGGTAACGACTTGTAGTGTGTATCATAACACGTTTCATTAAGTCAACTTACGACTATATATAATCAAAAGTCACTAAAAGACTTCGACCTCCAAACAGTTGCCACAATATAGAATACGATACATATGCAATGTAATGAGAGTGAAGAAGTTACACTTGTTGAAATCACTATATCATGACACGACTGGCATGACTTGAATACAACCATGTTTCTCAGAATATAAACTAGAAAAACTTGCAGACTATTTATGTACTCCAAAGGTCTGTTGTTTCTAAGATGCAGTGAAACAAAAACTACCCTCTAGTAACAACCAAGTTGTTACCGGAAATACAAAACTCTAAAACTATTTACTAATCGATCAGTACACGCAGAACTATAAAAGACAATAAACTTATTTTTTTTAGAATTGTTTTAAAAAAAGAATACCTAGATATATTGGTGTCCAAAAGAAGTAACAAATGTTACAGGTTTGACACCGTATATTTGTTAGCTCCTGCTTAAAAATATTTAATTAAGTAACAAATGACATAATAAAAAATATTTACTCCATAACGGTATTTCTATTTGCTCGTGCTCCCTAGTGGCACATCACCGTGTCCGCGGACTTACACGCTAGAAACCGGGTTTTGATACCCATGTTGGGCAGAACACAATTAGCCCGTTGTGTAGCTTTGTTCTTAACGTCAAATAACAACAACAACTATTTGCTCGTACTAAGAACATTTTGAGTTGTTATGCAATTCCATGTGTTTCTGTTACTTCTTTATAATGTGAAACGTTACAGTATTACATCTGTGTTTAACTATTCCTAGATGCTAATTGTTTAATATTATTGTTGAACGGAGATCATTTGGAACTTATATTTCTGCATTTTTGATCTGATGAAAATGAAAAATTGCATGACAGATTATATAACATAATACTATACTAAGTTTACATTCCAATTATAGCAAACAAGTTTCTTGTTGACACAACAAAGTTAATGTGTTTAGGAATAATTAATAATTAATTGATGTTTTTCCAAATGCGTACATGATACGAAAATCACATTTGTTATGATAAATGCTAAATTGCATAAATATTTTTAAGCTAGTTGATTTTTGTTGTAAATGTGAGATCAAATATTAGTATAGAAGGAAATCAACGATAACATGATTACATTAATTATGTTACAAATATTATTTTAATTATTAAGACGGTTTATCTTTTATATGTGCACATTCATTAATTTTATCTTTGTGTTTCACATAATTCTATCAATTTCACATTCTATTATTTCTGAACAGACAAATTATTATTTAGTTACTTAAGGACATTAACATCACACTTCTCTAAGTTAAACACATTTTATAAATTTTGCATATTCAGGCCAGTTGGATGTTTTTAGACAGTTTGGAGTTTAGTTACTTGTCCAGTTACTTGTCAATCTAAAATAAAATATAAGCAGCAATCTCTAAACTTACAAACTCCTCACTGCACATTATAAACTCCTTACTGCACATAAAAATGTAAGTCCTAAGAAAATCTAATACATTACAAAGGAAAAAAATATTTTAAAGCTGCTTGCGTTCAAAAGATAATGAAATGTAACTTTATTGTGAAGATAATTTTCAGATGAAGATTAGTATCTTGTATTCTTAAAACTGACA